CTGCTAGCGGGAAGCCCTGCTCCGGTACCTGGGAACATGTCCTGGGGATGGGCTGCTAGCGGGAGGCCCTGCTCCGGTACCTGGGAACACGTCCTGGGGATGCACTGCTAGTGGGAAGCCCTGCTCCAGTACCTGGGAACATGTCCTGGGGATGGGCTGCTAGCGGGAGCCTCTGGCACCGGGACCTGCTCAGGTGCCTGCACCGCACCGGGGGCTCCAAGGCTGCCCTCGCACTGCCCAGGGCCCACTTCTGTTCAGGGGAGCCAGACCCTTCCCTGCAGCGTGCTCTGGTGCTGGGGGGCCACCGAGGGCTGCCCTGGCGCTGGGCTGGGCCGCGCTCTGGCACTGTGGGCTCCAAGCACAGCCCGGGGCTCCACATCCAGCCCCGGCCCGGCTGCGGAGGCCCTGGGCCCGCCCGTGGTTCTGGGGCTCCAGGGCAGCGTGGCGGCCCCTCGCGCCGGGCCGGGGCGCGCACGTGGCGGCGCGGCCCGGGGCCGCCCCTCGGCGGCGGCGCCGCCTCTCGTTAAAGCGCGCCCGGGGCCGCCGCTGCCTCCTCTCGTGCCTGCCGCGCCGCGCGCCGACATGTCGGACAAGCTGCCCTACAAAGTGGGTGAGTGCAGCGCGCCGCGCCGGGCCCGCTGCGGCCTGCAAGGGAGGAAGGAAGGGAGGAAGGAAGGAAGGGAGGAAGGAGGGAAAATGGCAGCGGCCGCGCGGGGAGCGGAGCGCGGGCCCTGGCGGGAGCCGCAGGCAGCAGCGGCCCGGCCGGGTCGGGGGCGCCGAGCGGCCGCAGCCCGAGCCCTCCGCGCCGGCCCTGCCCGCGGGCACCGAGCGCCTCGGGAAGGGGGCCGAGCCCTGCGCTCCCCGCGGGCCTGGCGCCGGCCTCAGCAGAGAGCAGCGTTCCCGGTTCTGGCCTCTTCTTTCTCTTCACCGCCCCCCGTGCCCCAAGAGTTCTACGTCGCATGAAGGCCAAATGCAAAGAAAGGCTCTTTTGACCCCAAGGTTTGAGCCTCTAAAGAGCTCAGCTTTGAGGAAAGGTCTGTGAACCCAAAATGGTGCAGAGCCTTTTCGAGCAGCCACGTGAGAGCGAGGAGCCTTTAGAAGCGATGGGGTTTAAGAAACCCTGCTCTTGTCTCTGTGGTTTCCACGGTTCTTCCACCTGCCATGGCTTTTCGGTGGCCTCCCTTGGTGTCAAGGTTGCCCTGCAGTTTACTGAAGTGCTGGCAATGGCTTCAGTGGCCTCGAGGCTTCTTTCTGGGACCAAATCTTGCAGTTATCTTGTTTGTGTTCGACCAGGCCACCTGCATCAGAGGCTCTGATTCTCCTTTGTGCTTTAAATGGGCCGTGCCTGCTAGGTAGTTGAGTGAAAATAGTCTGACCGAGTAATCAAAGGCTGAAGCTTATTTCTTTACAGGGAAGGGGGAGCAGCAGCAGCTGGGCTGGGTTCAGCACCTGAAGGGTCTGTTACTTTGGTGGGCAATAACACGCCCAGCCTGTTTTCAGTGTGGAAGCTACTGCTATACAGGCAGCCCCGGCATGTGCAAGTCATGGTACTACAAAATTAAAATTCAATAGGAAGTGAATTCATAGTCCATAGTCCATAGACTCTGGACAATATCAGTAACGAAGGGTGCCTGGGGCTAGGGGCCAGAATCAGCGAGCCTCAGGGATTCTGTATGTTGGGTTGCAGTGTGGCCTATGCTAGTTTGAAAACCTGTGTACCAAAATCAAGGAACAACAGGGATGGGCGTTGTCTTCCCCTCAACTGTCCCCCCAACTGTTCAGTGTCCTATTCAGCTGTTGCAGCCAACACTCTCTGCAAGTGTGTGAATAGGTGCCAAGGGCTCAGCTGTTTAACTGCCAACACCTGTCCTCCTTTGCCCACAGCTGACATCAGCCTCGCAGACTGGGGTCGCAAGGCCATTGAGATCGCAGAAAATGAGATGCCAGGGCTGATGAAGATGAGGGAGATGTATGCAGCGACGAAGCCCCTGAAAGGTGCTCGCATCGCAGGTTGCCTTCATATGACCGTGCAGACGGCGGTTCTCATCGAGACCCTTTTAGAGCTGGGAGCTGAGGTAACGTGCTTTGAGCTTCTCCTGCAGTGTGCTCTTAGGTTGTGCTCTGTCTAGGGCAATGCTTCTGTTCTTGTAACTACCCTGTGTGATTCTGGCATGTTTTCTCATCTCTCAGAAGAGACCACCCTGCAGTCTCCAGGTAGATGCCTTGCCTCTTCATTCCTTCAGCAAAAGGCTTGTCACCTCGGATACATGTGCCTTGGGATTGCAGGCAAACTGCATCTTCCTGACCATTTTAGTCAGGGTTAGGATGGTGGTTTCAGCAGCCCCTGTGGCCTGAAAGCAGCCGTGTGCACAGCACCCTGAGGAGCTGTGCCAAAAGCTGCGCCCACACAGTTCTGCTGTGCTCAGGCATGCACTGTTGTTGCTGGTATGCTGCTAATGCTGAATCTTTAGTTGCTGCCTCCAGCACAGATTAACCTGGATTAAGGACCACATCATGTCCTGGTAAAGTCAGCGAAAACTAATGGAGCCATCTGAGAGCTCCTGCTGGCCCTTGAGCTGTGTCAGAGGTACAAAGGGGAGACTGTTTCAGTGATCAGGGACTCCACTGGTTTTGAACTCACTGTGTGACTTTGGACTGGTTTCTTTGGTGTGCATTAAAGGTTGAGGGGCTTGTAAACCACCTACTGCATCATGTCCTATGCTTGGCTTTCAGAATAAAATCCAAGTGTCACAGAGGGCATGAACAGAGGGCTAGGGCCTCTTAGCACAATCCACATACTTTTTCTCCTGAGCTGGATTATGCTAAGCACATAGTATTTCATCTGAAATCCCTTCTCTCTGTAGTTTTTCTGCCCCAAAGTGTGGGATTGGTCCAGACACTTGTAGGCTGCATGCTGTTCTGCTGTTCAGAGCTGAAGAGCGTATTCCAGAGCTCACTGTGCACTGTAGTGGATTTGGCATCCCTTTTTTTAGGCTAGGCCAGCAAAGATGTTATACTCTGCCTCAGGTCTACATGAGTTCTCTAAATGGTGCTTAAAATCGTCCATTTCATAACCAGGGAGCAGTAGGGGTACAAATATTAGCCTGTAAGCCTACCAGCTATGCCAGTTATTCTTGGGTCCTAGTCATTTTCCCAAACTGCTGTAAAACATCTGGGGATGCAAAGCTGAAAAGAGACTTTTATCTTGCATCTTGCTTCCAGCATAAGTAACCTACAAATTTTCAGTGTACTTTGAATTTTGTGATACCTCCTTATGGCATCTGCGCTGCCATGATGGGAGCTCTCAAAAAATGCAGGTGAGTAGGGATAGGGCTTGACTTCATGATTTCTGTTTTCCTACACTCCTTGCAGGTGTTTTCAGTAACAAACACTGAGTGTATAGGCCCAAATGGGGAACCCCATGGCTTGCTGCTGTAGCCTTGCTCTGAAGAGTATTAATGCAAATACCTGCCAGTCAGGGGGATATCCTTGTAGGGGATAGAGTAAGAACTCAAGCATGTGTCTGTCAGATGCAGAGCTTTCCAGGGAGCTGGTGAGTTGCAAAAGATTCACAGATAACTTTTTCAATGAAACTCAGCAACATGCTGTTGCTTTTCTAGGTGCCTGAACCTAGTTATGAAATCTAGGTGGAAATTGCTTAGCTCAGCTGGAAAAACTTCCATGCCTGGAGCACAAAGTGAGAGTTGGGTGAGCATAATCTTAAAGATTGCGTATTGATTGAATGTAGTGTTCAAGCTGCATTTTTGACTGAGTTCCAGCAGATGTGTTGCTGTGTGTCCATCTTCCTCACTGGACACTTGCTACGTGGCACTCCTGAAAATCTGAACTTTAGTGACTCAGGCTTTCTAAAGTCACCATACTGTGCACTTGCTGCAGATCTATAGCTGAATGTGTGCTATGGCTGTCAAGGGAAAGGAGATGGCTGAATGTTTGGCACAGCTGAAGCTCTGTTGTGCACCCTCCCTAAGTAGCATTATTCTCCCTGTCCTACTTAGATCCTGTAGCTTCTGCAGAGCTACTGAGAAGGTCAGAAATTTGCACTAATATGTCTTTCTGCTCTTGTTCCCCTTTTAACTCCTGTTTCTGGAAGAGAATGCCTGATATCTCAGAACTTTGATCAGTAAATAAAACCTTGGTTGTTTTCCAGGTACAATGGTCAAGCTGTAACATTTTCTCAACTCAGGACCATGCGGCAGCTGCTATTGCGAAAGCTGGTATCCCTGGTAAGTCTGTTCTCATTTGGCTTTGATAAATTAGTGTATACTGCCTGTGCTAGCTAAATCAAACTGTGTGCAAATCAAGTTCTTAAGAGCAAGCTTTAGGATACAAATACTGCATCAAAGCAGTGGTTCTTACACAATAGGACACTCAATTTGAGCTATATTGCATCAGACAGTCCAGCACTCCTGAGAATGACTGATCATGTGTTAGACTACAAAGGCTTCACGTTGTTTGCTGGTAGCATTAATTCTGGTCAGTAAGATGATTAAACTGGCTAGGCAATAAAGAAATTGGTGCGTAGGTGTGTTCAGAAACAGGTGTCTAGTGCTTTCCAGTAAGCCTGGTGCTAACTGGTGTTGGGGAGGAGATGTTGACTGCAGTGTGCCCTGTGACAGTCACAGAGTCAATGCTCAAAATGCTTTAAGGCCAGGGCCAGTTGTCTTGCAGTCTAACATCCCTGAAATGATTGATCAAAATGCTGCTGTTTTATTTTTGTGTTTTTATGGTAAATAGCAATGTCTGCTCCTCCGTATGAATGTATTAAGCTGTCTGCTGCACTGCTCGGTTTGGGACATACAGTCCTCATGAGTCTGCATGTTAGGAACTGCATGGCCTGAGCCTGAGTGCTGCCAGAAGCTAAATCTCATTTTTGACAATCTGGTTCTGTTTTGGACACTTTTCCATTTCTGTTATGATTACCTTTTGCTATGAATCTTTTCCCAACTGTCATACATTTTTTAAAGTAACAAAAAAAAGTTGTCCCTCCTTTGGCCCCTGTGGGCATCGCCTCCCCCCCGTGTCTGGCATATGTTATCAGGGCATCATGAGAGACTGTCCAGACCTGATATCACCTTCCTCACTGTTCTCAATAACATCCCAGTTTCAGCTAAGAGTAGCCTAGGGGTGGAGTGTTTGTCTAAACGTTTGACCTCTGCCTTACTTTTGGGACCTTACTCTTTTTTGTTAGTATTACCTCTTGCAGGTTTGGTTTTGTAGCATGGATTTAAAATATTCTATATAAACAATGAAAACAGGGCAATTTGAGAAGGTATCGCAACTTGGGATATGTAAACTGTAAGGTTAATGTGTTTGAATAGCAGAGTACTACTGTAATTCAAGTACTGAGTGAAGTCAGGAATACAGATGCCTGGAAAAGCAAAAATTTTTTAGTGCTAGATAAAACATGTTAGCAGTGGCAACCTGTTGCTAGTGGTAGAGCTACTGATCTAGTCACATGTGCTAAGAAGAACAGAGAAGAGCAGCTTGGATTTTAGCACTGGACTGGAGAGTAGAATGTAATTTCAAGGTTGCTAAAGAGCTTATACCTGGTGCTTAATTCATGGTGAAATGTATGGTGCCTCTTCTGTTTTGCTAGCTGTTGCTATAGTTGTTTTTCATCTGCCTGTATCAGTATATCCAGTGTTTCTTTCCAATTCCTAGCAGCACAGGGTGAAATAAGGGAGAATATGGGGCATTGCTGAGGTCCGTTTAGTTTGATTTGTTCTGATTTCCTCTTCCTGATGTAGAGGAGTAAGAGGGGAGCAAATACAATTTTGATCAAGTTTGTGACCTGCAATGTAAAGTGAAGTGAATTCACTTTTGCTTGTGCTACTATCTTTCCCAATGCAGAAGTTTTTTTTATGGCCTCGGGATGTGGGTAAGGATCTACTTTGCTACATGCTGAGTAAGAAACTGGCTACCTGTATGTGTGTGTTTCTGCCTAGTGTTCGCCTGGAAAGGGGAGACGGACGAGGAGTATCTGTGGTGCATTGAGCAGACCCTGTACTTCAAGGATGGGCAGCCTCTCAACATGATTTTGGATGATGGTGGAGATCTGACCAACCTAGTCCATACCAAATACCCACAGCTCTTGAAAGGTAACTCGCAGCTTGTAACATCAGACAGAGCTGCTCTTGGGATTCCCTGGGAATCCCTTGCTTGTTGAAAGGGGTGAAGAGAGTGGGATGGGGGGAAGACAAGAATCTGTAAACAGGCTACAGTGTATCCATGAAAATTACTTACAGTCCAAGGCCAGAATTACTTTCTTACAGAGGAGCTTCTTGTTTCTCTTTCCTTTGTACTTGCTGTGACCTGTCCTTCTGGCCATCCTACTCTGTACCGATTACCTGAAAATGAAAAGTGGTGCTTTTGGGGCTTCTGGAAATGGGTTGGGTCTTAAAATTACTTAGTGGCTGCTGCTTGCAAATAATATTTTTTTAAGATTCATGCTTTACCCTCCTCATCCTCTTAGTGCGCATGTGGATGAATTCATGACAACCTGCAGACATTCTACAGGGAACAGTTTTCTGCAGGATAAAAACTACAAGACATTCACTGTTATCTGGTTTGTTGGCAAAGATGCTGATGGAATCAGGTTTGGGCCTCTTGCTTTGTTGATTAATTACTGTAGATATAGGTTAGTAGAGCTGAGAGTAGCTTGGGTGATGTGGCTGATGTGTTTGTGTAAAATGATTTATCTGGAGTGAATTTGGCCTGAGCTGCAGTAGTGCACTGATCTGTGCCAGTGAGCGTGGCAGCTTCTCCTTAGCTCTGACAGTGTCCATCTGTGCTGCTGCTGCAAGCCACAGAGGCCTGGTGATGCCAAAGGGCCTGTTTGATCTAGCATATGGAAAAATAAAATAAACAGGAATAGGGACGCAGAGAAACTGAACTGATGCTATGAGGTGTGCTGCTGCTGGTTTGTGGTCCTTGAAATTGAGGTTGCTGAACTGGATCAACTTTGACCTGGCTCTTGTGCTGTTTTAAGAGGAAGATAAGGTGAGGGGAAAAGATGAGAAAGCAGCAGGTCTCGGAGCTGTGCAAGTGTAGATGGCTGCGATGGCTCCCTGTCACTGAGCTCGTTGAGGGTCGGTGAGCAAGGAAGAGAAACTGCTTGTGTGACTGGTTTCGCTTTTTGTCACCCTGAGTCTGGTGTCAGTTGTTCTTCTGCAGTGAAAACCTTGATACTATCTGAATTCTAATCTCATATTTCCTTTATCTGCTCAGCCATGCTCAGATCCATACTTTTCCATCAAAGTTTGACTTTGTTTCCTAGATTGACTCTGTTTTTAAAAGTCCTCTTGTTTTCCTGTCATTTGATACCAAGGAACATCAAGATCAGTCACCACATGTGGTCTCCTGCCATTATCACAGATTCAAAAATGCATTTTTCATGTTCATATCCTCTGTTCTGCAGAATTGGTCCTCTGCTGCACACATGTAACACATCTGTACTGTATCCCTGTTCCTTGTGCTGTTTGCACTGAGCTGTCTTCCACATGTCTGAACTCCTGCTATTTGTCCCTTTTTTCTGCCCTCTAATCCCCTCCTCTGTTTTACTTGTCTCTGCATGGTGAACTGAAGCAATAGTACTTGAGTTGTCTCCTGTCTTTGCATCCCTTTCTGGTCTGCCATCAAAGGCAACATCCCTTGTACCTGGAGTTGATTCCTCAGTTCGCAGGAATGACCTTTCCAGATGCATTTTTAAAGAGCCTAGGCCAGATGTCTTTACCTGTCAACATTTCTGTTGCCCAAATGTGTGGGGCATCTGGACTGATAGCTGAAAATCTTTCTTGCAGCAAATCCGTAAACTTGCCAAAACTGATCTCTGTGGAAGCTGACAGAACTTGGTCTGTTTTGCTATTGAGTCCAGCAATCCTCAGAAACAGGGAAACCTCCTGAAATGGGTTCACTGTGTAGTCTTGATCTCTTTAACTGAGCTTGGCACTGAGCGCTGTGCTGCAAAGATTGCTTAAATGTACCAAATACCAATGTAGTATCTAGCATTTTTGGTACCCTGAAGATAATTAGAGGCTAATAAATATCAAGAGCTTGTGGTATTTGAAGGTCCCTGAAAATGGTTAATGTCACAGTTCAATGACCTGTTTAGAGGGGAGATAGGGCCCCTAGGGTCAGTAATGTCTGCAGAGCAGGCACAATACTGGGAAAGACTGAACCTTGAGTGTGGGAGATGTCTCAGTATGTGCTGTTCTTGGAGATGTGGGGAAAGCTGAGGATCTAGCAAAGGTTCTGCTGCTCAGATGTTAGCATATGCAATTGAGCTGTGCATAGAAGGGAGCAGCTGAAAGTGTCTTTTGCCAGTTAAGGATTGGACAACTTCGCTGGCCTAATTTCAGAGTGAACTGTCTGTCTTCCATGTTTCAGCCACTTGTACAATAAGTAGAGGTTAGTTGCACATTAGGACTAAACTAACAGTTGAAAATTAGTCTCTATAGTTCATTCAAGTTTTCCTCAATTAGGAATTGTTGAGAACTTCCATGTGTCTATTTAACACCACAAGTTTTTCCTCTCTCTTAATCCAGCCTGCCATTAGAGGGCAGAATGACTTTATACTATTGGCTTATTCCTGTAAACTAAAGTGTCCCTCCAACCAGGATAAATAGAGAGAAAACTTAAGACCTGAAGAGTGGAGAAAGCCATCTGAGCTCAAATCTGTGCGAAGGATCCTCTTCAGAGAGGAATGAGAACACTGGATCACTTACGATCCATTAATGTGGATGTGTTCATTTATCAGATAGGAGAGCAAAGCAGGTTTGAATATTTAGCAAGTTTTTTTTTTCAATTCAAACTTGTCTTTGCTGTAAGCTCTTCTCCATAGTTAAGTCCATTCTGCAAAATGTCATTGAAACTAGTGATGCCTGTGGTGTTTCTTACTGCAGAGTTTCAAAATAGATGAGTCCAGATGGAAATGTTGCCGGGGGCAGCAGGGGGACCTTGGTCAGTGAAAGTTATGACATCAAGTTCTTGAAGGTAAAGGTGTCTTAAAGAAAAATCTAAGCATAGATATTTCAACTTGGAGAGCTTTTGAAGAAAGGTGGGAGTGCGTGTCTCAGTCTCCAGGTAGACCAGAAGAGAGGGTGCAATTTTGAGTTGGAGTTCTCTGTCACAACCTCATAGAAATGATTTCATTCACGGGAAGGAATCAGCTGTACCTAGTTGAGTCAGTTCTAGTAGAAGACTGTCATTTCTGGTAAATTGCTGCTTTTTGTAGACTTGTTAAGGCTACCCTATCTAGCTGTGCCATAGACAGTATTCTTTTGGTTTGTCTTGCCTCTCCAAACAAGCCTTGAAAGTACAAAAGCCTGAACTTGTTCTGTCTACATGAAACCAAGTTGAGAGTGGCTGTCTTAAGACTTGAAAGTTTGATGAAACAGACCTTTGGGGGCAAATCAGCCTAATCGAGAGTCATATTTCTGTGTAGAGGTGCTGGCCTCTGTTTATAGGGGTACTTCTAACTGGTCAGGAAGCAAAAGGGAGAGCTAATATCTCTTGCTTTCTGTCCATTTCTCTTAGGAGTGGTAAGTCTGGGCAGCCATCTGGCATGCTTTGGGTTGACCTGCTAGTGAGGGAAGCCAAATCTGTCTCCCCAAGACAACTGCAGAGCTGCTGCGGGCCTGGAATTTGTGACGCAGCTTCCACTAGGAGCTCTTTAGGACCTAGTGTTTGAGAGAAGTAGCATTTCTGATACTGGGCATGAAGAAATCTAACCCTTCTAGTCTTCTAGACTCTATCGAGGCATCTGTCACTTGTGCAGATTCCATTTTGAAGGATAATCTGAGTCAAACTTGAAAATTTTAAACTGAAGTGGTCTGTCTGCATGGTTTGCATAGTTCACCTAGGGGTGGAGCAGTTCACAGCAATTTTTGAAAGCACCATGCACAGTTTTGTACCCAGAAGAGCATCCACATGTTGTCAGGCAAGCTAAAGGAGGTCAGATGATTTAAGATCACTTGCTATGCCTGGGAGCCTTCTGCTGGTAAGAGCTTTCTTCCTGTTCCCTCTGTGCGGGACATTCTTCCAAGGTCTTGGAGCCTTTTCTCCTGGCAGCGCTAGGCGGCGACATCTCCCTGTGGAGCGTGAGCTGCCCCTGGGTGCTGAGACCACTGCAGGTGCCGGGGCGAGGGGGCGTCGTGGGTGCCCGCTCCCCTGCTCTGGAGCGCCTGTCCTGCAGACACATGTCCCAGATAGTGGTGGGATGCAGTGAGCTGCTTTCCTAGACGTTTTAAGCCTTCTGGGGCTTTGAGAATGACTTTTTAAACACATTTTAGTCTTTCTGTCTTTCAGCTGTGACAGGAATGCAAGATGTCCTTACCTTTCCTTCCCTGCGTGAGCATCTTTCTGGATTTTGCTGGAGGATGGCAGGGGGCAGCAGTGGCAAGTGACAGTGGTCACTTATGTGGAGAGGCAACATCTCAGCATAAATCTCAGACTTATGTAAAACAACTTCATTGTTTTCATCTGTCTTTTTATGTGAGTCTGAATTAGCTACAAGTGGATGCTACATGGATCTCTTTATAAAAGATCCATGCTACAAGCTACATGGATCTCTTTATAAAATCCTGCTACTATTAGTGGTAATTTCTGTCTTATTGAGCAGAATTCCTATTTCCTTCTGCCTCTCCCCCACCCTGTGTGTCATACTTCAGTAAAATAGGTGTCTTGCAGTGCGCCTCAAGATCTGAATGAGCAAAAGTGATTATCATGTCCTCTACATCTGAAATTCAGCCAGACTTCATAGGTTTATTCTAAAACTTACTGTGTTTTTAGTTAGGAGTAACTTCTTATGCAGATAGATTTTTTTTTTTTTTGAAAGTAGTCATGGAATTGCCCTATGTAGCAACTAGGCAAATTCAATTTATATGCAATGAGGTATTATTGAGAGGTTAGGAGAACTATCCAGAGTTTGCAGCATATCTGGACAAACTTGTTGTAGACAACTGGCTATCAAGTCAAAAGACACTTGAGATGTCAGGGTCCCTAAAACACTTGAGCAGGGTCACGCAGTTATGACTTCAGCTTGTGGATGGGATTTGGAACAAGGATATTTGTGCTTCTAGACAGGGCTGTGTCCCTGGTCTCCTACTCCGGGGTGAGTTTTCAAACAAAGATGTATTTCATTTTATTTTTTTTATTTTTTTAACTCTACTATTAATTCCCATCAAACTTGAGTTTTGCTTTGTTTTTGTCTAGACTGGGGAAGGGTGGTGGTGTTTAATTACCACTATAACTGATTTAACCACAGGAGGACTGAGGATGGGGAATTATTTGAGTTATTTCATTGATCCAAGTGCTTTAGAGCCTTACCTAGGCTCTCTGTTCCCTTCAAGTCAGCTTACAGGACTGAATTAAGCTTTAGAAGCACCACTGAGGTGGCGTCTTACCCATTTTCAATGAGAAGGCTTTTTTACCATCCACTTTGTGAAGGAGTGGACTAGCACCTCATCCTTCCTTGGTCTAGAGTCAGTTCTTACTGTGACGAAATCCCTGTGGTTTTGGGCTGCTCGGTGCTTTATCTACTCAATTTGGTAGATCTAATGAAGCTGATCCCTCTGCAGTTCCTCCTGGGCATGTACTGTTCCTCATTTCCTCGCTAAAATACATAGTATGGCTGGTATCAATACCCACTCCCCTTCTACTCAGAAATAGTTCTGGCATTGGTAACGAAGCATTAATGCATATATTTTAACTGCTATAGAACGAGTGCTATGGGTGATCTCAGAGATCAGTTTTGTGCCTGGGGACTGGGAAACCAGGATCTATATCTGCCTCTGCCACAAACTTCTTGTGATCTTTGTCTAACTGTAGCTCTTCCTCCCACCGCTGGAAATGGGATATTGTCTGAGAAGGGCAGTCGAAGATGAAAGCAGTAATGCTTTCAGATTCCAAATTGTTTATTTGGAGTCATTCCTCCCTTTTCTTGCTTGTCAGTGTTAATTTTAGGAATGGGCAGGAGTAGCTCATTGTTTCTTTGGAAAACGCTTCACCTTCTGGCATCTGTTGTGTTTTTTCAGCAGATTTCTTCCTCCTTCCTGTTCTTCCAGAAAAATTTATCCTTGTGAGAGAGAAACTTGTTTGAAGCCTGGGACTTGTGCTTGAAAGCACAGATGAAGTTTCTCATGTCTTCCCTGCTTCCTGCAGAGCACATCCAGAACGGAGGCCTCTGGAAGATGCTCCAGCATCCAGATGTGTTCATATGCAGTGTTGTTTCTAACTAGGATGAATCCTTCTGCTTTCCTCATAGGGATTAGAGGTATTTCAGAAGAGACAACCACTGGAGTTCATAACCTGTACAAGATGAAGGCCAATGGGACCCTGAAAGTGCCAGCCATCAATGTTAATGACTCTGTCACGAAGGTAATGCAGCTAGTTGTGTTATATTCTTCTTCTGTGTTATATTCAAGTAAACTGACTTGTTCAGTGTTGTGATGCTGTGATTCCTATGGAGTTTTTTTTTTTTACTTATTCTTACTCTTAATGAGTTGGTTTTGCCTGAATTCTTTCACCATTTCACTCCTGTTATTAAAATGAGCTAGTGGAACCTATGATGTTCCTATGATGTGATGTGCAGTTCTAAATAGCACCCCTGTTTTTTGAAATCAAGAATTTGTATATGACAATGTGTACTACTTCTTATTCTCCTTTTTCTTTCTGCATTATAACAATATGAAAAGACCTTTGGAAATTATGGCTGCACTAGGCTACGTTCAGTCTTTGTGGCAGTGGGCCAGTCGTCACTCAGTATCTTCATACACTAGCCTGGCATAAAAGCTGGAAAAAAGGCACAGGAATAGCAAAGTAGAGTGGTAGAGCAGTTATGACAGACTGCCAGAAATATTTCTCAAGCTACCCTTCTCCATTCAGTTCAAAGTACTTTTCTAGGAGAAGAATTATGATAGCTAGTGCTGATGTGTAGCTTGTCTGAGCAAAATAGCGCTTCCAGGACAGACCTCTCGGTGCCCTGTGGCTGTGAGGACACACAAAGGCTAGCCTCAGTCCCAGGCATCATCCTGTTGCAGGGCCTGGCATTTCTCACTGTCATTTGGCCGGTTTTCTCTGCAGAGTAGCTCAAGTGCATGGCATCTATTTCTTAGACAATAGGCTGGAATTCAGTTCTTTTTGGAAGAAACCTGTTCTCTTGCATCCTTTTTGCCTGGATTTATGCCTCCTGAACAATGGCTATTAAAACTGTTCAGTAGATGAGAAATTTCAGATATTTCTTAAAAAAATATATTGAGTTTAGAGAAAGAGATTCACTGGGGGTGAGTTGAACCAACTTTATTCTAGTGCCAAATGAGTGTTTCTTTTCAAGCACTGATATGAATTGCACACTATAGTTCTTCAGGAAGACATCTACTGAACTGACAAACTTCACTCCTCCAGATGGCTATTTGTGACTTGTTTCCAGCTTTTAAATGATGAATTCCTTTCTATACTAGTATTTGGAGAGAGGACAGGCAGTCCAGTTCCCTTCCACCGCTGCCATCCAAATGTAATGCTGGGTACAGTGCATCCCTTGCCTTGTGGGAATGGGACCGCATTGATGTCAGGAAAACTTGGAATGCAAGTGGAGGATTTGAGGATGAGGAATCTGTTTTGAAAACAGCAGTTTCCTTCACAAGAATACTTAAAGAGCAAGGAGAATCTTCTAGTGGTCCAAAGAATATGCCGTTAAATATTACTACCTTTGGCATTTGAGGCGTTGGTAGCACAGATTTTCTGAAGTATTTATGGCAATTTTGCCTGTGCCAAGACTTGTGGGCATGGAGTCAGGCTCTTCTGTGGAGAGCAACTTACAGGTAGGCAAATGGCCAAGTCTTGAGGCTAGGATAATAATATGAAGATATAGTCTGAAGCAGCTCAGATAATGCATCAGCAATGATTTGCACATAGCCATTGCTGCGTTTTCTATAATAAAAGTTTACAGCCATAAGTTGTGATTCTGAAAGATAAATTTAAATATTGCCACGTTTTCATGTAACATCACTTCTCATATTTCAGAGCACCAGCCATAACTGCAAGATAGCTCCTGTTTTCAATCCTGCTGATTGCATTGAAGTTCACACTCTAAAGACTGCTCATAGTGGACAGTGTGGTACTTCTCTTGTGTAACGCCAGGAGCAATTAGTGTTTTAAGGCCGCAGAAAACATAGCTGCAGGCTCTGAGAACAGGGTTTTGCTCTGGATGGGGAGTTCTTCACCCCCTGCCTTGCAGAGAATGACCTTGATAGCTGGAGTTCTTCTGTTTTTGGCTTCTGTAAAGCTTTACAAATTTGATCTGTCCATCCACCCATCGCTTGCCAAAGCAAGGGACTCGAGAAGAATATAGTGGAGTGTCAAAAATCAGCACAGCAAGATGTGCTTCTGTGTCTAGGAAGGTTTATAATACTGTTGGACCTCTGATTGAGCAACACAGTTTTGATTTGGAGGTCTGGCTGATGGTAAGCTGATAAGTGAATATGACATCAGGAAGATGCAGGATGATGCGTTAGGAGATGAAAAACACTTGCAGTTCCTGGTATCACGAAATACTACTGCCTGCAGTGTGCCTTGCTCCCAGGCTGATTAGTGTGGCAGCCTGCTGCTTGTTGCCTGTGGGGTATGCGTGTGCCTCGAAGATGTAACCTCATGCTCGCTAACCAGCCGGATGTTCTGCTGCTGCTTTTTGGCTGTGGTGCTTGATCCATTTGGAGGAACAACAGTACAATTGATCAACATCTGCTTAGCAAACTGAGGCCTACCTCTATGCAACAGCTGTTCGGGCTTTCAGTTGAGGTTTTAGGGTTACCTCTTTAGCAAGCGAGGAACAAGCCCAATGCATGACCCATGCACATATGTTCACTTGTGAAGCACCTCTCACCAGGGGCACAGTGAAGCCTGTATCAGGTATAGCTATACTGATTAAAAACAGATAATTGAAAGCATCAAACCTGGCTCTTCTTCCCATCCCTCATTATAATTATTTATAATTATAAATTGGAGAGACTGTTGGCCTCTTGGTTCATAGTACTTTTGTATACATCCATTTTGGCTCTCCAAGGGATTTCTGCTTATGAACAAATTCCATCTGTCCTAAGGTGTTACTTTTTCTTCCTCAGAGCAAATTTGATAACCTTTACGGTTGCCGAGAGTCCCTCATTGATGGCATCAAACGTGCCACAGATGTCATGATTGCTGGAAAAGTGGCAGTGGTGGCAGGTTATGGTGATGTGGGCAAAGGCTGTGCCCAGGCCCTGAGGAGCTTTGGAGCCAGAGTCATCATCACCGAAATCGATCCCATCAACGCACTGCAGGCAGCTATGGAAGGTGAGAACCAAAGGAGATGTAGAACTTGGTGCATCTCATGTGGGGGTTGCCATGCAGAGCACTGAGTGTTATCCACTCGAGACTATTTCAGAGCACTTTAACCCTGTTCCTTTCCTGGAGGTGAAGATGACTTCTCTAGCTCAACTCATCTTGTGAGGAACTCTTGCCTTACAACTGTGCAGGAGGGAGTTCAATATAGTCCTTGAAGATGTATTTGGAGTCAAGGATATAGAAACTATGTGGTGGGGGAAGCACCCCATTTCGTGATGCTGTAAACTAGATTTTTGAATAGTTTGGTTGCTTTCAGGTTGGGCAGCTCTAACTTCTAGTTTGGATTAAGACTTCACTAGAAGTCTCCACAGTATAACACCAGGTCTTACTTTTGCTAGACGTGTGTGGAGAGCGGTGCCATGATTTCTGCCTTTCCAGTGCCCCAGCCATGCTCTGGAAGCTGTGGCCACACTTCTGTGCCTTCCTCCTGTAGCAGTGCTTGTTAGTACCAATTCATCCCATTTCTGTTTATACATAATCAGAACTTGCAAGAATTGTTGGTGCATTTTTGTTTGCAGACTTGACTGTTTGAATCCAAGCTGAGAGCTGTCCCATGTATTCTACATATAAACAAAGCGTTAAATGTATGGATTTACCTATTGGAATAGGTAAATTGGAAGTGAGGGATAGATATTTTTGTGTTACTGTGGAGTTTAATGAGTCAAGAGTATGCTCAGTACTTTTTCTCCATTAATCAAACATTGGCACAGATTTTTTGACTTCACTAGTCATAATATTGTAGTCTGGTTTTGAACAAGTGTTGATGATGGGACAAGGAAATATATATATTTTTTTCCCCTCTCCTTTTCAGGCTATGAAGTTACAACCATGGAGGAGGCCTGCAAAGAAGGCAATATTTTTGTTACCACCACCGGATGCACTGACATTGTTCAGGGCAGGTATGGCCTAGCCACTTGCTTTAGTAGAAAAAAAAACACTGTGCAGTTAGATTTTATGCAGTCATAACTTGTCAGCAGTATGGTGAGGGTTAGCACATAGGTCTCATTTCTGGACATCTGGATTTAGTTCTGGAAATCAGGACTTTGGTCTTTCAGTTCTGTAGGATATTGCTGAGTTGCAATTGTTCCTGTCTCACAGCATCTAATGCTGGAGAATCAATAAAAGGTGTAGAGGGATGGACAGTTTTGGAGAATGGAAGCATTTGAACTGAATTCAAGATAGGACAGATAAGTGTGAGCAGAAGGCGGGGGAGGAAGATAGAGGTTGAAAGTGATTCCATCTGTAAGTACATATAGCAGATTGAAACTAGCCTGTTCTCAATAAACTACCCTGCCGTTTTTTGTTATCACTTCTTAGATCTCAATTTATAGTCCCTCCACTCTACACACTCATTCCTGTCTTTGCCATTGTGATTGTACATGTTGAATAGAAGGTCAAATTAAGTGGGAAGAGATAAGGCCATTAGACTCTGGAGATGTAAAACTGCTGGAAACTTTAAAAACAAGTAGTAGGAAAGAGCAGAATAACTGCAGGTACTCTACTTTTGATCAACTCAAAAGTTAATTTTACTTTCCATATTAGAAAGGTTTTTCCTCACACTCATATCCTTAGGAAGACCCCTTGCTAGAAGCTTAAATATTTTTTTCACTGGGCTTTGCATCTGCCCGATTGTTAGTTTTGAGGCTCAAATGGGATCAGTAGGACAAGGACTCTTCCTTCCTTCTTGAGGAGGAGAGCTATGGACCAGTGCAAATCCTTGTGCTGGAAGAAGGTCGTGTGTGTTTTGTGTGTGTCTTTTCTTGTGTCCATTAACTATTGATAAAATTTTTTTTTACAGGCATTTTGAGCAGATGAAGGATGATTCAATAGTGTGTAATATTGGCCATTTTGATGTGGAAGTTGACGCCAAGTGGCTGAATGAAAATGCAGTAGAGGCTGTGAATGTAAAGCCCCAGGTGAGACAGCACTTGCACAGGCTTCCTGCTGGAAAGAAAAGCCAGTCAGTGTCATGCCCCAGAGAAGGTTGGAGGAGGACTATCTTTTCAGATGTTTCTCTCTTGTTTTTAGCTCATTTGGGAGCTAATCTTGCTCTAGGCTGGTCAGAATGTAGATTCTGATCTACTCTTTCCCATTAGCCTAGAACAGTTGCATATAACTCTTTTGTATTGATATTAAAGCAATTGGTTCCGGCCAGTGCCTGTGATTACAGCATGGTCTCTGGCAAGAGTGCCTGGTGGGATAGATCTTTGTCCATATGTTCCTACTTTCCTTGCAAACACAAGTCTGCTTTCTTGGTGGTGATTGTGTAGACAATTCCATAATGTTCATCCCTTACAAGAAGTCAGCTTTGATGTTTGGGGTGTGGGTGGTAAGGTATGGAAATGGGCTTTCTTTGATAGCCACCAGCTGAAAACAATGCCAAAATTATCTTTAAAAAATAACCTAGATGGTGAATACAGAACAGGCCATTACAGATTGTAGATTGCCTTGATCTAAACTTCCTTGCAGGAAGTTGCTTGCTAATGAGCTGTCTTGCACTAGAAAAATCTCCATCCTAACACAGAGTGCCAGTATTAGAATGAATCTCAGGATAATGTATTCTGAGATTCTACCAAGGTTTGAAAAAAAGTTCACACCTCTTCAAAGCACTTTTTATTATGAGATGGAAGCTTTGGTAAAGCCTGTTTGGAGCTCTGCCAAATTTAGTTCTCCTCCAGGCTCCATGGTTTCATTTTAGAAACCTGTGGACCATAAGTCTGCTCGTGTGCAGACACGGAGGGAAGTTTTATGCTTGCTTCACTTGCATTCCCACTGTGTGCTTATGTCCATCTAAAGCTGTATCCACATGGGCAGGTAAAGGTCTCAAAATTTCAGCTGTGCAGCTGAAATTAAACAGTGCTTAAAGAAACAGAACTAAACTCAAGTAAAATTGTTACGTAACACCAGCATTGAGAGGGAACATTGCTTAAGGCAAACCAGGCTGTCTAACTTGGCATAGAACAACTTCTCATTCCCTTTTGAAGAGGGAGTGTGCTTGCTGACGGCAGATTTCTGGGACAGGTATGTGGTGGTTTTTTAACACATCTAAGCATCTTTCTTAGATTTCAATCTGCTTTTCCAATTTTCATAACTCCCCTGTGGCTTATTGGCCACCCATGTTGAACTTCCAGCAAGCAGTTGAGAGTCTTTGCAATATCCTGCTTTCTTTTGGGACACTGAACGTGAGTGTATAGCTCCAGATTTATTTGAGCCCAATTTCTAACTGTGTTCAAGTCTGTTCTTGCCTGTGACCTTAGAGCTGACTAACAAGCTCCTTGTTAGGGGATGCTGCAGCTTTCGAGAGCAAAGCTTGCTCTTGAATTGCTCAGCTTTCAAAACTGAAATTGGAATTGTTGAAAAAGCAAGTGTCAGACTAAATGGGTTGTTTTTAGGCTAGCGCACAAACTCACCTGTATGTGGATGTGCAGTGTGACTCTTAGTCTTGCCTGAAAAATTCTAAGTATTCCTCTTGGAGGAGGTAGGAGTCTCTGTCCCTTAACTATGATGTTTTAAAGGAGCCAGCCCCGCAGCAAGATGCAATTTAATTCAAGTCCTGAAAATCATGACAAGTATCTGCCTAAAGACAACATGTGGTGTTTTTAAAAGGTTAGAATTAGAGACAAGGTAGTCTCTATGGCTTAATGTAAGGCCTGCTTCCTATCCTGGAGTTCTTCTGGTTTGAACCTCCCCAAAGGAGGGTCCTATTCAAACAATAAAAGCTGTGAAGCCCACTGCCCAGAGTGTTGAGCGTATTGTACATGTGAAAGATCAAAGATCAACAGCTAAAAACTGCATTAAGTATCTCTAGGAGCACTGGGGTGGGTGTGCCGCTTCTAGGTGCCTCTTTGTGCCAAGCAGATTCATCCGTTGCTTTCAAAGTACAACTGAGTGCCTGAAAACCTGGCAGTTTCTAATATGGGTCTGCTCTGGATAATATCCCAGCCAGCTGCACTCTGATATTAGAAAATGACTTGTGTTACAAGCACAGCTGTAGAGGGAGGGGAGGGAAAGGTCAGGGTGGGATCTGTGAGCTCCGGCTCTGTGTGATTTCTTCTCAGGTGTTAAGGATAGTGCAATCCAGGCAGAGTCTGGAGCAATTTAAATGCAAATTAGGAAAGGGAGAAGACATTTGCAGAGTCTCCAAATAAGCTTAGCAATTGGATGACTTGAATTTTACTTCTCTAGTAATTTTCTGAGTTTATAAATCAGCCTTATGCACCTATGGATGAGGCTTGTGATTGTGATTCCATGTAAACAAGCCAGCAGCTGCCCGGGAGCTGTGTCAGTATATGGGTGCTTCTTACTTTAATGTGACAGATTCTTAACTGTTTTGATCACGTGGAATTTCCTGGCTTTTTCCTTGAGTATCATGCACCAAATAAAAGAACTTGAGATGTGCTGTTACTGATACTGGCACCCATTCTGTCATTCATAATGGAATGCCATTGTAACTGTTTTGCTAATTCTGAATAAAACTGCCTGAAGATGCAAGGGGTATAACATGAGTATGCACATTCAGGCTTCTCCCCTCTGCTGCTACAGCACAGTTCCTCAGGATTCTGAGTCCATTGCTTATGGCTCCTTCCTCCCTGGTTTCATTACTTCCTCCCGTAGTCCTCTGATGCTGCATGTTGTGATTTTTTTTTAATGGATTCAGCACAGTGATCCATACTGAAGAGACACTGTCTGTAAGAAATGCAAAAACTATGCCATGGGAAAAAAAAAATCTCTCTAATCCTGTCTAGCTGTCCTCTTAGGAAGGAGAAATTAAAGAATTTATCCCAGGCTTCTGTTTGAGGTAGTTTTTCTCTTTACATACAGGTCTTGCTGAGCATGGCAGGGAAAGCCATCTCCAGCATCCAAATCCCAGAAATCTCTGTGGAATTGCTGGGAAAGGCATGCAGGAAAGGCATGCAACTGCACACCTTCTCTGAAGGTTTAATACTCCTTGAACTCCTTTCTAAGAGCCTGGGTAGGAATGTTTTGCAGCAGATAGTTCATGCAGATGCCATGTGGCTTTTCACCTATGTTACAGGCTAGAGCTTTAAGAACCAAGTGATATGCTTGCTCTTGCTCCAATTGAATAAACTTCTGAGACTAAAAGTATAAATCCAGTGTGGGGAGGGAGCATCTTAAGTCTTTCACAATACCCATGGTATGAAAACACAAGATAAATGAATTTGTGTAAGTTATGACTAACCTTGTCAAAGTTGATCTTTGATCTTTTCAGTCTTTTCAGAGATTTAATCTACTCTCAACTGTTGGGTACTAGAGATGAACAATGAATACCAGTGAATACTGAATATTCATGTGACTTATGGGCAATATTGGCGTTGAATTCTAAGCTTTAATATTCTAAAATCTCCTACAGGTGTGAAGGGCGAAGAGCTAATGTTGTAGGAATCTGACTGTGACCCCTATATTAGATGCAAACGCTGTTGCATGTAAATGTGTTTTCCTGTTTCTCCACACCAGTTCTTATAACTACACACATATATGAATTAAATGTCACTGTTGGCAGCATGCTCCCACAACAACCATCTGAGATGACAGGCATGCAGAAAGAAAAGCTAGAAGAGTTGGATAAGTGGTTAGATGAGAAGCATATACTAAGATACATGTTGTATGAAATCAGAACAGTTACAGACTTGATGGATACTGACTGGGAACTGAGTGGTATGTATCTCGGTTGTAATTTAAGTCCATTTTGCAAGCCTGCTGCTGGATTGCTGGAGTGAGAAGGTTGTTTACTAAGTTTTGCATGAGTAAATGTTGTCCGTACTCTCACTTCTGACTGGTTTTGGTTTGTTTTCCACTCAGGTGGATCGGTATACACTGAGGAATGGCCGCCACATTATACTCTTAGCAGAAGGCAGACTAGTCAACCTGGGCTGTGCCATGGGTCACCCGAGCTTCGTTATGAGTAATTCCTTCACCAACCAAGTGTTGGCACAGATCGAGCTGTGGACCAATAGTGACAAATACTCTGTTGGAGTCCATTTCCTTCCAAAGAAGGTGAGTTAAGCCAAGGTCAAATGGAGCAAGGTAACCTAGTTCTGTCTGTGCATGAACTCATCGTTCTCAGGGATCTTCTGTCCCTGAATGAATTCTTGACTTCAGTCATGCCGAGCCTCTTGAATCTGAAGTGGGCTGGGTTTTGTGACATGTTGAACTGTGACATGTTGAGTCCTGTGAACTGGGATTCATCTGTCACATGCAGTAGGAATGTTCGCGTTTCCATTTTCGGCTTGACTGGGAGTTCCACCTGGAGATGCTGGGAAGCCCTGCAGTGCCTCAGGATGATTAGGAAACATCATTTGACTTTTTGTCTCCTTACCGTGGTTGAAAGAGTCTGGGGTTCATTTGCACCTGAGCAGAGCTTATCGCAATCTGGTCTTAATATTTTCACGAAATATTCATGACACAGATTCCCTTGGGTTTCCTTTTAAACTTATCTGTGGATTCTTTGTTCTTGGAGAAATCTGGATCATGTCATAACTCTCAAATTCCTTTTATAAAACTAATCTGGTTTTAATTTTTCAAAACAAGCCTGAGAATTTGAGATAGACATTGAAAAAGATGCTGGAGTTAAATCCCACTGCCTTTGAAATGCAACCAGATGTGGCATTAAATGTGAAAATGCTTTTCATTTGGGAAATAGAGTATGTATGTTTGGGCTTGTTTATGAAGTGTTTGCTGAAGAACTTCTAAGCTTCCAAAACCATCCATTAATAGTCAAATGAAGTATACCAGAGATCTAATGTGGGAATTGATTATGTGTCAGAGAGCTTGTTGATCATCCTCTTCAGAAGAAATATTTTATTGTCAGTCCCCTTGAGAAAGGGATAGTCCAGTGTTGCTAATAAAACTCCTAAATAAAAATTTGTAGTAAGCATACTTGAAACTGGAAATGAGTATTAATGCCCAAATCAATGTCTTAAACTGAATTGCATTTGTTTGTTTAGCATATGGCAGCGATCTGTTTAGGAACACACATTGTGGCAAAATGCTATTCTTTACCCACAGTTCTTCATAGAGGATTTCAAAGAATGAAGCTGTCTTCATGTCAGGACCAAGGGAAGATGGGTAGAAGAGCTTTCTTTGATAATTTTTGGGCGAATATTGCCTATTCTTTGATAATTTTCTGGCTAATGTTTCCTGTTTAGGTACAAAGTACCTTGCATTATAGAATATGTTCCTATTTGTCATAGGTATTCATCAAAATTATATTTTAGCAATCAAAGAAAATGATGTCTATTTCCCCCAGAAATCTAACCAAACTATTGTATCTAGGTCCTTGGTAACAAACCTATCCCTTTTTTATGCTCAGCTGTCTGGTTTTGTGTGCACAGGGTAAGAATGAGTTTACCCGACTCACCAACAGCTTCTCTTGAAATTGTGGGGTTAACCAGTCTTGCTGGAAACACACCAGTTGGCCAGATGTGTATTCAATTTTTAATCTTTTGGCAGGATCTGCCAAACTTAAATACTTGCTTCCCTTTTAAATCCCATCTTGCTAGTAAGGTTTTCTTTCACTCAGGGCTTGTTCTTGGTTGTGGGGTTTTTTTTGTTTGTGTATTTGATTCTCTGACCCCTCCGTGTATTCAGTAGCTTTCATGGTTCACTGCTACGTTCTTTGCTTGATCTTTGTTTTTCAGTCATTTCTCTTGCACATCTTGGAGCATGCTGCTTCTCAATAGGTTTTAGTAGTTCCATTTTACTTGCAATCAGCTGGTAGAGCCCTAGGGAGCTGCACTGTGTATAAATGTAACTTTTCATCCTATTAGTTGGTTCATTGAAGTAAAATTATTTTAGAGCAATTACTAGTTACTACACAGCCTTTGAGTGGGAAATTTAGGGCTAGACACTGAATCATTCAGGAGATGCTGGTTCACACAAGATGAAGATCTGGTCCTTCATTGTTGATTTATTTCTCTTTGAATGCTTTACAGCTTCTCACATGTGTTTGATTATATGGAGGGGATATCATAATTTTTTCCTCTGCTGCTGGAAATTCAGACTTAAGTCTGTTTCGTTAGCAATGAATACTTGTATATTGCAGGAGTTAGAAGTGATTTTTAAAACTAGTTTTTATGTAACTCAGCAAGTTAATTTATATTTATATTACTTAATGCTATCCTTTCCACCTTTGAGGCTCTTGTGGCCCTCCCTTCCCTTCTGATGTAACAACTGAAGTTTCCCATTACTGTCTAGTTTTGACTCTTGTACCCATCTCTTGTGGTTCTTAACTACCTTATAACTTCATGTTTTTCAGTTGCTTAAGATAGTAGGTGGGTATTGTCTGATACCTCTGGGAAAAAGAAAAGCCCAAAGAATAAGTGAGTTATATATACTGTTAACATATTTTCCACTGCACACTTTGGTTTTACTCTTTATGGAGGCTTTATTATAGCCTCCATAGGATATATAGGATTATAGATTCTAGGATTCTTACTGAATTGGTAAGAACCAATTCTTTCTTGATTGAATTTTCTTAACATGTATACCTCGAAGATAAGATATCTGGAAACCTGATGTATTCTTTTGTGTCAATAGCAGAACATCTCTACAATCTTATGATGGCAGACTAATATGTTGAAATGTTTTTGTAGTGGCAGTATGGTTGGGACTCTGCTGTATTTTACCAAACTGGATATTCTTATCTCCAAAAAGTTTGATTTCTCTTCTTGTCAATGGATGCGAATGTGTAAATGAGATTGAAATGAACTTGATTGTATTACTAATCCTGAGCAGGATTTGACTCCTTGAAAAGCTTGAGGCTTTTCAGTCTCAGTGCATTTTGATGCTCAGGGTCTCTGCAGTCAGAGGTGATGCTAGCAGAAGACTTTGTTCACTGCTCTCCCTGTGTCAGCCTGTTAAATCCTTCCTGGGGCTGCTGCTGATTTTCTAATACTCTGTTCCCACAGTTGACTATGAGTTTTTGTGACTAATAGGACTTCATTCTGCTAATATTGTTATCTCAATGCTTTGTTTTTCAGCTGGATGAAGCTGTGGCTGCTGCACACCTGGATAAACTGTGTGTGAAGCTGACAAAGCTGAGTGAGAAGCAGGCCAAATACCTAGGCTTATCAAGAGATGGGCCATTCAAGCCAGACCACTACAGATACTGAGCAGGTGGCGCTACCCAAAGAAAAACATACAGGGATTCAACCTTCCAAAGCTCTTTTGTGTATGCTGGAGATCATTTGGAGAACAAGCCCCTTCTCTATCATCCTCTCAGTATTGCAGAACTGATCCCTTTACCAAGAAAGTGTCAGTTTGTTTCCCTAGTGAGAACAGATCACTACTCTGGTTACCTAACTAAAGTCATGGTGGGTGCATCCTCTACATGCATACATACATGCATACAAACACACACACACTCTTCCATTACAGTTTTGATCAAAACCAAGAACCTTCTGTGTTGCTTTCACAGCAATTCTAGAAGGGGTGTTTAATTTTTAACAGCCTTTTAATGTGTTGTGAATGACTGAGGAAACCACTGCTGAGGGGATGATTACGTGTTGGAATCATGCTTGATTCTCTGAAAACACCAGTGACACGCTTCTACCCCAACTTGATTTTCGAAGTTGTCACATCTGGGTTATCTTCTCTGTCAGTGTCTCAAAAGTGCTTTTATTAAAGATCTGACTGTGGCCTGACTTGTTTTGTGGAGTGAGATGGTTGGATCGATTTGCCATGGGTTATCGGATTTTGTGTTCCTGAAGTTGTTGAAAGTGTTTTGGGTGGTTTCTCCAGGCAAAATTCAGTGCTGCAGTTAGTTGTCCGCATACATTTGAGCTGAGAAAAGCTGCTGCTCAGATTACGGAAACTTATTTGAAGGGCTGAATGTTGTAGAAAACATCTCTGCACCCCTGAAACGCACTTACCTCTCCACCTCTGCCTCTGGATGTGGAAAAAATGAAGGATTTGGTATGACATGAAACTAAAACAATGGTTGAAGTGCTCTGAGATTCATGCTTCTGCAACAGATGCAGTCTTAGTGAGGGATTAAAACAGATGGTGCAGAGTATGAACTGTTGGGGTGGAGAAAAGGGGCATGTGGCTGAGTTGGCAACTTTATTCTTTGTTTTATATGGCAGAAAAATCTTTTGCTGATCACTAAAGAGCATGAATTTTAACTGAGTTCAGATTGCACAGACACAGCTACTCTAAATTATTCTATTGTCAGTAATATGTTATCATTTAAATTTCTATATTTATGTTGAGCTCTTTGCAGTAGTGTGCCAGAATTTTACTTGATCAACAGGAACAAAACCATTTCACATCCTTGCAGAGCCTTAGACCCGGAAATGAAGCCCTATCAATCACTTTTGTTTATGGTATTCCCTCTCTTATCATGTGTTTAGCCAGATAGTCACGCACAAACTATACATCAGAGTTGGCTGTTTAGGCCTCTTCAGAGAGGGGGGAAAAAGGGAGTTTAACTGACTTGTCTTTTAGTGTAATTCATCTCTTTCTAGAGGGGAGAGGGAAGTACATATCTTTGTGTAATGTTCACCTTATGCCTGAAAGCTGCACGTAGAAGAGAACAAAGATATCCAAAAACATCATGGTAGATTAGATGCAATGGAAATACCATGACTGGGTGCTCACCAGTGTTATTTGCTTATTATGTGTGCATTTTGAGTGTTATGTTTTACAGAGTCACAGAAGAACTTCGATCAAAAGGGACATCTTGAGTTTGTGTGGTGCAGTCTCCCCTGCTCAAAGCGAGGCTCTCGGAGCTCTTTGTGCTGGGTTTTGATCATATTCAACGTTAGATTTCCCCACTATTTTTCTAGGCCCCAGTTCCAATGTTCAGGTTCCCCAGTGGTGAATGATTCTCCTTGCCCCAGTATCTAATTGAAACTTTCCTTATTGCAGCTTGTGTCCCTAGCTTCTTGTCACAGAACAGTATCCAGATGTTTGCCTCTTTCCAGACAGCAGGAATCGCTTCAGAATATTTCAGAATATTTCAGAATATTTAAGGTTGGAAGGGACCTCTACAGATCATCTAGTCCAACCTTCCTGCTCAAGCAGGCACACCTAGAGCATGTGAGGTCCAGTTGCCAGGACCTTTCATAAGGGAAGGTGATAGTCTTGCAGTGATCTCAACCAGCAACATTGGCACCCAGACCTGTGTACTGCCCACCTCCAAGGGCTTGTGCATGTTCAGGAGGTTTAAATATACACCAGCTGTGCATGTTCAGTAGCTTAAATATGTCCTGACTGTATCTTCTGCAGTGGGTACTACTGCATTTCCACAAGCTGTTGCCTCCAGGCTCAAGGGCCTGGGAGCTAGAGGATACATCTGTCCAGTGAAAACCAAGGTAAGGCTCTGACTACTTTATCCCTTTCTGTGTCTTTTAGCAGTAGGTCACTTGCCCCTTTGAGCAGTGGGCTCTCTTTCTATGGGCTTCCTTGTGCTGCTGATGTGCTTGCAGACACCTTTTTGTTCCCCTTGCATTCCTCATTAGCTCAACTGTAACTGAAGTCCAAAGCTATAATTCTGTTTGACTTTATCACTTCTCTGGATCATGGCCACTCCTCTGAGTGATGACCATTCAGATGGAGATGCCAGTCATCTTGTCCAGCTTCATTTTGAGTATCTCCAGAGATAAAAGATCACACAACCACCTTGGGCCTTTATATTTGACTCCCCTCAAGGGGAAGAAGCTTTTCTTTACCTCTAATTTGATTTTTCTATGTTGTGGCTTCTCCCTGGGCCTGCGTGTTTTATTATCTCTGTGCCTGAGCAGAGTCTAGCTCCATCTTCTCTGCCTGCTGCCTTTAGGAAGTTACAGGCAGCAATAAATCACCATTCACCTTTCCCGGGCTGAACAGACTCAGTTCTCTCATTATGCATCTTACTCCAGCCCCACAACCATCTGAGTTAATGGTTCCTTTTTACTGAGGAACCCAAACTGGATGCAGCTGTTCTTAAGGTGCCAGATAGGGAAGATTCCCTTCTCCTGACCTGCAGCTGCACTTTTTGTTGATAAAGCCCAGCTGTGGTCGGGCTTCTTTGCTGCACAGGCATTCAAGGACCTTAAATCTCAGCCTCATCTATAAGGCAAGTCTGATTTCTCAACAGGGGCTGGATCCATAGCATAAGAAGTCACATAATCTTATAGCTTACTTGCTTTTCATTGGCCAGAGCACCTCTGTGGTCACTAAGAGCTTCATTAAATGATTTGCAACTTTTTTTTTCTGGCAGCTTTCAAGGTTGCCCTGTATTTATCTAGATGTTATGAATTCACTCTTCAGTCTGACCTTAAGTACCGTGATTCTCTGAATAGAGATCATATTAATACCAAATAGAGGGTATGTAAATACAACTGTGGTTTGCTTAAAATGATTTTAGCTGGAGATTTATTAAAAAAAAAGAGGGGGGCGAGGGGGCAAAAATTGTTTCAAAATAAAAATAACAGTGAAGAGAACCCAGCATCTGTGTGTGCTGAGGCTCCTGAGCCTGCCTCCCTAGGGCTGAGCCCCAGTGCATCAGTTCTTGTAGCAGCCCACATCTGGCACGCCGAGTCCTGGGACAGGGCCAGGCTGCAGCTCCTCTTTAGTTTTGCCTCTGCACCACGGATGTTGCAGACATTGTGAAACGCAAGCCGCAGACTATCGAGGGAGCAAAAGAGAAGTGTGTGTTGGGTAGATGCACTGCTGTGATGCATACTTATGGTACAGAGACCTTGACGTGGGCAGGCTGGGAGCATGAGGTGGGAGTAAAGGCAAGTTTCAGGCTCAGTTTGTGAAACGCCGCAGGTCTGGGCTATGTGCAAGCTGGAAGGCTCGTTTAACTGTGTGCCTGTGCACGCTCCTTTTGCCAAGGGTGCTTCTCTGCCCTGAGCTGCTTGCAGGCTCCTTTTGCAAGGCAAAGGTAAAGGAGAGGTGAGATTTCCTAAGCATATATATATATAACTGTGTGTGTGTGTGTGTGTGTGTGTGTGTATATATATATATATATATAACTGTAGGCTAGTTTGGGTAAGCGTGCATGATAAGTAAGAGGGATGTGGAAACCACAAGAAATAGCATCTAAAGCCTAATTCAAATATTAAAGATAGTGTGTATGTTTGTGTTTTTTTAATGAAATAGTTATCGACTTAGGTTAACAAATGGCCAAAAAATACAACAAGCCAATTAAACGCTGGCTGAGAAATGCCAATGTCCAATGCAGTTATCAGTTGGTCTCCAAATCTAGGAGGGGGGAAAAAACAAGTTATTAGGTAGTGCTGAAATAAGCCTAGTTACTGCAGGGCAGCAGTTTATAAACTATTTTTATTTTTATTTTTATTTTTATTTTTATTTTTATTTTTATTTTTATTTTTATTTTTATTTTTATTTTTATTTTTATTTTTATTTTTATTTTTATTTTTATTTTTATTTTTATTTTTATTTTTTATTTTTTTATTATTTTTATTATTTTTATTATTTTTATTATTTTTTTTAACAGAAATGCCTTTGGGGGTTTCCACTGCCTCTGCTGCCCTGTAGCAGGGAGCCCGTTGCTGGTGCTGAGACACCTTCCTGGGCAGCAGCTGCCTGGACAGCACCTGCAAGGTGCTGAGCCCAGAGTCTGTCCCCTCCTGTGCTGTCAAACCCAAGGCTGAAGATACATTAATAATGAAGGATTTTGCCTCTGGGCTCCAGCCAGTTCTTTGATTTTGCTTAGAAGACTAACGATCACACTCTTTACTTTTTCAAATGTCTTTCTGATTCATCTTCAATGCTAATGTTTAGCTCGTTACTACTGGAACACTGTTGCCTCTCTTAATTATTGCAGCTTTCCCCTCCTGCTCCTTTCCATCACTGATTGCAAAGCAGTGAGAGAACCCAGGCCATCATTTTTTGTCATTCTCAAATAAATTCATTATTATTTTTTTAAGTCCTAATTTGTAATAGTTTTGCAAAGTTCTGCTCTTTACTTTTTTAGTGGCTGTATGTTTTGTGGAATGGAGATTGATGGAGGAGGTCGGAAAGCCTTAGGAAACACAGCTCAGCACTGGCTAGGGACGAAGAAATGAAGGCTCCCCCGTTGGCTGTGATTAATGACTGCCCTGTTTTCTTCACAGTCATTCTCCTCGAAGGGGATCTGATGTTTCTCAAAAGCAAGCTGTGGATTTTTAGCCTCTCGGGGGGCTTTGCTTTTTTATTTCTTTTTTTTTTTTTTCTCTCAAGATGATCAGACATAGTAAACGTATGTTGTAATGGCTCTTTAGTTTTAGCACCAGTAGCGTTTGCTGGTGGATAATTTTGCACAGCTGTAATGAGCTTCAAATACAATTAAGCATTTTTTGCCATTTTTTTTTTAATGACTAACTCGGCATGAGTGCTCATGGTTTGCAGGGCAACTGAAAAAAAAAAGCCCACAAACTAACTATATAAAAAAAACAGTTTATGGAAAAATAAAGTTAATAGGATGGAACAAAAACCTTTCTGTTAAAGTTGTGCAGCAGCCTTCTAAACTGAATGGGGATGACATCCAGTTTGTCTATCAAATACCCAGAAGTTCTGTGACGGAGCAATTAAAATCTTCAGGATATTCAGTCTGTAGCAAAGCTTTTGCTTTGTGACATCCAGTTGAGTTCAGAGATGATTCTTAATCAATCCCCCCTCCTTTTTTTTTTCTGTAGCACTTTAGTTTT